AAATTATGAAGATATAACAGAAAATACTCGCTTCTAATTATAATGTGTCTAATTACATACATCCAAAATTTGTCCCATATTGCTAAAGTATCCAAGTTTTTTCATGTTAGCAAAGAATGCTTACCCAATGTAATTTCGTAGGAACAGCAAAATCTCGTAAATTTACAAATATGTTTGATTCTGAAAACACATGAGATAATAAGTGACATACATGAGGTTAGGATATCTGTCATGTGTAGCAGTAAGCAATGTAGAAAAGCGCCCTGTTAAAATATTTTTATTATTTATATATGGGTTTATTTTTTGTATATCTGTATTTTTCTTGTTATATGCTATCCGTAAACTAATTAATAATTGTACTCTTTCGAAATTAAAATTCCACGGTATGTCACGGCATCGCGAGATTTTACTTGCAAAAGAGTACCGTACAATTATTAATTGTTTACGGACTATCATACATAAAACACAGATATACACAAAAAAAAACATTTAAATAAAGATATTCTAATAGGGCGTTTTTTTATATTGTTTACTGCACACATGACAGATATCTTAACCTCACGTATGTCACTGTTTTAATATTTCATTATGTGTTTTCAGTATCAAAAATGTTTGTAAGTTTACGAGATTTTGCTCTTTGTAATGACATTGGGTAAGTATTCTTTGCTAATATGATAGAGCTTGAGCACTTTAGTAATGTGGGACAAGTTTTTAAATATAAGTAATAAGACATAACAATTAGAAACACAATTCGTATTTTCTGTTATATCTTCATAGTTTATAATATAAGAATACATATATGCAACATAGGCCTAATAATTTTCAAATCATTAATCGATCTCTTTTATTTACAGTGGGATCTTTATGCTAGAAATAATGCATTTTTGGATCTACGCGTGCTGGGATAACTATTGTGCAACTACAGTATGAGGTAATGTTTTTCAGTATTGTGTTTTCTGTTCATTCAAAGGAAGACTGTATTGTGATGATACAATTATGCTGGTAACATTATTTTACAAACGAGATCTTAATGTCACACTATCTGTTTATATTATATCATATATTTATTTTCATTTTAAGCAGGCGAAAGTAATAGATCGGCTCTAGTTTGCAAACCAGGGATTCAGATTGCATCGAATGTCTGGAGGGAATCCATTTACAAAGCACGAGAATCTTTTAAGCGAGAGTTAAATATTACAGTCTTCGCTAAATATTACAGTCTCCGCTAATAGAATCTTGTGATCTGTAATGGAATGATCAACGCTCATTCACTAACTTGCAGTGTCTGTTGAAGCAATAATGATTTTATACTGTTGATGTGTTAGAAGATTGAATAAACATTTGTATCGCTATACAGTGAGTAAATACATCAGCGAAGACAGTACTTTGGCATATTATATCCAAATGTGGCATATTGTAATATATATATAATAACACATATTATATATGTATATTATCTGCATCACAAAAAAAATATTATAACATTTTGTTCTTAACCAATTTATCACCCTACGAAACGAGATATTAGTTGTTAAATTTGACTTTTCAGATTAGGAAATCTGTCATATTTACGAAATATGGCCATATGTGCATGCGTTACTTGCGAAATTGCGCGGAATATGAAATCGCTTCGTAGGGCAGAGCGACAGTTTTAATTGTCACATTATTTCATTGCGTACAAAAACGCGTCGAATAAGTGTATTTTTATCAAAATTTGAGGTAAGGTCTGTAAACTAAACGTTTATGAATATGTTATTTATTAACATTATATTAAAAATCTGTTTCAGATATAGAAGGACTGGGAGAGACATATCCTATGCATGGTAGTAATTTGCAGAGCAGATGTCATGAAATACTCGAAAAGAATTCATTAACAAAACACGAGATTCTTTTAAGCGAGAGTTCATTATTATTATCTCCGCTATTAGAGTCTTGTGAAATGTTATGAAAACAGCAAAGCCTATCCATTTAACTTTTGATCTTGTTGGGAAATCAGTCATTTGCTGTCAAAGCTTAGGTCAAAGCATAAAAAGGATAAACTCTGAACTAGTGCAGCTAATTCAGCTATAAAGAATCTGTAAGCTATAAAAACCTCATGTTTGTATAGTGTTATTTATTGTCCGTTACAAACGATAAAAATGAAATATAATTTAATGTGTCACGTACAAAAGCATGTATTACATATAGAATTATAATATAGAACTAAAAGCTGAATTATATAATATTTTTACTTATATATGCGTATATACATTTCTTATAAAAATATTCTGCTGGTATAAGCTATAAGTATTGCGATACACATAATTTGATATATATAGCATATATAACTCTTTAAAAGATTGATTTAATAAACTATGCACACATATTATCAAAAATGAAATACAAATGTATCTTCATTTTCCGAATATGAATTAGTTGAATTGAATAGTCTATACTCTGCAATAACATATCTTATAAACTTTTAAAAATTATTAAAAATTACACTTATTTTAATTATTATACACATTATACACTTATTTTAATTATTTTAATTACACTTATTTACACTTTATTATTAAACATTACACTTGAAATACTTAAATTAAACATTTTATATATTTCTCTATCAATATCTTTAAAAAAATTACAATCTTAAGAGAAATAATAACAGTATGAGTATCATCAATATTATTAATAGTATAAATCACAGTATCAGTCTTATGAAGCTTTGGATAACCACGTTTTTTCAAAATAATTCAAAAATTCCTTTAACTTCTCATATTCAGGATTTTTTTCTTCACAAGTATTCCATAATATACAATAAGCTTGAGTAAAATATTGTTCTGGCAGCAATGGTATTGTCATTGCCATCGACAATATGATGTTCGAAGAATTACGTAAACCTAAATGATTCCATTTTCTTTATAAAGCCTGCAATAGAAAGTGTTAATAATTTTACCAATAATGCAAGTAATAATTACTGATTATAAATAAAAAAATTGTAAATTAAGATACCTGATTTAGATGAAACCAGCATCCATGTATAGTAGCATTTGGAAAATATTTCTCCATTGCACTCATCGCTGCACATTCATAATCTGTCATGATAAATTTTATGTTCATTAGCAGATTAGGCACAAATTCTATCACTTTCGACCAAATTTTTTCATAAAGAGCTGTGGTACGAGCTTCGCATAAAACAAATATCACTGCGAGAACCTATAAAATATATAGAAAATGTTACAATCATTTATATCTTAATTAGAGCCGTTCTCAAAGTAAAACATCTACCTTGTCTATGTAACGTATATGAATTGTGTAAAGTTGACTAAGGGAAGAAACTCGAGGAACAACCTTTAATCAAATTCTATATTTATTGATAGTTTCAACATAATAAAGTAAATGTAATATATAGTAATGAAACTTACAGAAAATGTACCGTCACAAAAAATTCAGTAGATGATTCAAGTGCCTGGAGCAGTTTATCATTGGAGAAGAGTAATGCCTTTTTTCCATCTTTTGCAGTTAAACTTCCTTTATATATATGAGTTATTGGTATATAATTATTTAAATCGTCAGCAAGCATAGCTATAGATTGTGGTAATTTTGGTCTGCTCTTTTTTCGTTCTCTATTCAGTTGACTTCTAATTGATTTGAAAGCTATAAATGCAGCTGATTCAGGATTTCTGTAAAACATGTCACATATCAATGTCATATCAATCATCTTTTTACAAAATAAAAGTATACATATAAGTTTATCAGTTGTTATTATTTCATGATAGATAGATTGTTAAATATTAATATTTTGTGATTTATAATTACCTTCGAGAAACATCATCAAGTATATCTTTAGGTGCTTGTAATGTTTCACGAGATAAGCGTAACATCTCTTGTTTTAACACATATTTCTGTATTCTTGCATTATCAGGTGCATGATTATGGAAAGGATTAATGGTAACTTTACCATCTTCACCGACTTTTGCCAATCCACGGCATCCAGTGATACGTCGAGTAGACGTTTATCAATGTTATAAGCATATCCTTCATAAAAATAGACGGTACTATTTTCTGATTTGCCTTTAAATTCTTCCATATTTAAGGACTTGATAATATGTGACTTGTATTTGATGATATGTTAATGATAAGTGATTGATAAGATTGTGATTGTGACAAGAGTTGCAAAAAGCGATAAATAAAGAACTTTCTGAAATAATAGAAAAAATGATACCAATGCCATTAGCATAGAACGCAATGTATGCAATTTCTTATTAGCAATTAGTTATAGAACGCAATTAACGAGATGTTTTCAAATTTTGTAAAGTATTGTGAACACATTTTACTATTAACAATGCATTTAATTATCGAAAATTATAAAAATTATGAACGACTCATTGCTGACAAAAGGATTCTTACAATACTTGCAACTAGTCTTCTTCTTTTTCGTTTTTGGCCTGCACAAGCGGAAATAAGGCTTCTGATTCTGCTCTCTCACTGCAGCCATATTGAATAATGATATCAGAATTCTCTGAGGCTGCAGTCGAGAAAATGCTACAGATGCTTCGAAGCGTTTGGTTGACCAATCAAGGCAAAGAGAGTAAAGATTATTTTATTCTAATTGGTTAATGTAATACTTCGAAGCATCTCTAGCGTCTTCTCGACCGCAGCCTGAGAGAGTTCTGATATCATTATTCAATATGGTTGCAGAGAGAGAGAGAGAGAGAGAGAGAGAGAGAGAGAGAGAGAGAGAGAGAGAGAG